CCATCTTCCTATGTGTCCAGGGCATCGCTGTATATGGATGACTTTCATAGGCCCCATGTCACTGTGTATGTGTTTAAATATTTTAAGTGAGTTCCAAGAAGGGAAGCAGGATTATATCCATTCTAAACCTCAGAAGCCATTCGTGTTTACAAGTGTCACAATACCCAACTCACGGGACCTTAAACCAATAGGTGTGTCTCCTTCTGGATGGATGGTATCAAGTCTGGGGGTAGGCTCTCCAAGTCTGAGTTTCTCACTCAGTAATTGTTAAGCTGTTTGGCCTGTTTTTGCAAAGTGTTTTCCACATGGTTTCTTCCCCTCCAGGCATGACATCTGTTTTCCAGTCAGCAAGAAATGGGAAGGGAGCATGTTGGCCTCTTTATTTTGGAGCCTAAAACTTAGCTCTGCAAGTTCTCCATTGATATTTTTGTCCAGAACCACATTCATAGCTATCCTTGGGTGGAAGAGAGAAAGGCAAAAAAAAAAAAAAAAAAAAAAAAAAATCATTGAGACGGTATGGTGAAAACCATGATCTTCTTCACTATCTTAAATAATAAGAAAAAGATTTTGGAGACTCCCAAACAAGACTTAGGAAGCTTCTCAGAAATGGGACATTGTTTTTATAGCTCTGACTTAAATACGCTTCATAGAAATCTAGTCAGTGTCACCTAACTCCAGTCTGGAGGGACAAACCAGGATCAGATGCCCCTCTCTTCTTTGGTGAAGCAATCATGTTACGGCCCACTGAGGGCCAGGTTTGGATGGTTCACACTTGTAATGGGGCACACAATATCCTGATGTGGTTTTAGAGACCTTGGAGAAAGAGTTCTGGTCTAAGCATCCAAAGGCAGGCTTGAATCCTGACTCCCGACTATGACTTGGGATAGAGTATTCTTTAGACCTCCATTGCCTTATCTATGATGTAAAAATATAAATGGCTATGGATTTAGTGATAAAATAATCATACCCTTATAGGCCTGAATACCAAAGTAAATAGAATGTGTTGGGATAGTTTATCTCAGAATAATGCCAAGGTATGCCTTCCTTTCCTTGTCATTAAAGTGTTCTGTGTCCCTGACTTTGATCTTATAAATAGAGGCTATCAATATTTACAAGAATGTTCTTTCCTAAAACAAATGCTTTGATTTTTCCCAGCTTTCTGCCTTCTCTTTCTCTTCCACCTTATCCTCTTTCCTAAGTGGTCGGAAAGAGAAAGAAAATATCTTTTGGAACAAGGAGGTGCTGCATCTCATGGTCCCATTTGAAATGGCTCTGAGTAGGGAAGGCAAAAACCTCACTTCCTCCTTCTCTCTGGAGGTCACACAGAACCAAAAGGGTTAATGTAATGTCCACATGAATTGCAAACTAAAGTCTATAGCGGGTTCTCTGGGGAGAATGACCTTTGTTCACAGGACTTTGAGTGAAGTAATGGTTTCACACACAGCCTCTTCTTGGTAGAGATGCATAAAATATAAATAAATGATCAGGTTACAGAATGAACTCTCAATGACCAATTTTGGTTCAAGTAAAGGGCTTTCCCAACCTTGTGGTTCTCTGATGATAAATCTTTCAGCAGCAGGCAGATCCCTCTCAGAAAACAGCCCGTCTAGTAATGTTTGCACCTTCTGCACTTGTCAGGATGGAGAGAGTGTGAGCTGGAGCCTGAACACACATACAATCACAGACAACTGGCCTTGAGTAGGTCTCCTTATCCAGGGCCATTTGGCCCATACTCTGGCTGCGGCTGGGAAAGAGAGAAAAAGGAACAGGCTGCAATGTCAATAATAATGGCGTATACAATAGACCATCTGCAAAAGGGAACTGCTGATCTAACTTCCAGAGCGTGTTGGCTACAAGGTTAAAGGGACAGAGGATAGAGCACCTTCTGTTAGAACGACTGGTAATGCCAGTTTGGATTTCCTCAACTCTTAGTTTTCTCTTCAGGACACATTGTTTAAAGCCCATCATGAATCTTTGTGAACTAATAAGGCAACTCTGGCATGCTGTCTCATTTTACTCAGTTCTCTGAATTCCATGGGAGAAGGAGTATGGAGGAATCAGGATTTCTATATTTCTCAAGATGTTCTACATTGACAAACTGCTGGGGGTCTGTGAAGGAGAAGGTAGACCCAAGCTTAGAAAGTTGCAGCACCAGAAATATAAACCACTGCTTCCCACGCAGAGGATATTCTTGATAAGCATCTGCAAGAGGTAGTCAGAGGATGTAGAAATCAGACAACATTATTAATTTTCTTGTTCCTTTTGTTGTCCTGATATTTGCATATCTTTCCAAATTAATTAGGGTCAATACCTTTAAGTGAAATAAATAAGACACACATGTGTAAATACCGAATAGTTTCTCTGGTATGAAAAACTAAAAGCCGAAATAAAATCCAAATTGTATAACTGATAATGTGAAATAGGAAGAAAAGGGCTAAAGATGTAGGGGAAGTGGTAAGGGTAGGGAAAAGGTAATAAGGGAAAAGAAAAAATACCAGAAAAGGCAAAAAAGTGGGAACAAAGTCTTTGTAGATAAGGAGGGTGGGGGGTGAAGGGGGGATAGGGGAATGGGGAAAAAATGAGAACCAAGATCTGTCATGTAAAGGTACAGGATCCCAATGATGAATGTAACCGTACTGTATACTTAAAAAATACCAATGAACTCAATGAAAAAATATTAACTAAAACAAACAAACAAAGCAAATTAATTAGAGCCAAGTTTCAGTAAAGTGATTAGTAAATTTCTGCTTGAACAGATCTTATCAAACGCTACCACCCTGTGGTCTTGCCTGGGGGCTATAGTGCTACATCTGGCTGATATCTTCTGTAATCCAAAGTGTGTCTCTGTGGGCTATGGATCTACCACTTGACATTTCAGCCAAAGCCATCTTGGGGCTGAGACTCAAGTTCTTTCTAGTCACCACTGACTCATTGGTCTGTAACTCTCTAGAGTTATTAACATGATCCTGGATGCCTCTGTCTATTTCTCTGTGTGGCTTACCAAAAGCTCCCTGCTCCTGGTAGACTAACTGAAAAAAGTAGCCCTCTATGGAGAGAGTCAGCTTGAACAAAGGTAATGGCTGACCCTGTGGAACACAGGCTGATCCTTGCCTCCTACTTGCCCATGGCTCAGCACATAGATACATGCTATAGAATACTTTTTGTCCTCTCTGAAACTCATAATCCTCCTGAGATACAATGAAGTAAGACCAAAGAAGACCTTTCATTGGTAATTCTGGCTCTATCTTATTCAGTGGATTAACTCCTTCCTGTGTTTAATGGATGTTAGGAGGTTAGTAAATTATCTTGAGAGTCAATGGCATTGGCTACCAGTGCCAATTTGGCTTAGTCTCTAGGGCCCCTGTCTTTTGCCATGTGATGTCCTGTGACTCTTTGAGACTCTACCAGCAAGAAGGTGGTTACCACATGTGGGTCACTTGTCCTCTGTCTTAGGCCAGAACCCTGAACCAAAATAAACCTCTTCTCTTTATAATTTACCCAGTCTTTGGCATTCTTATTAACAACAGAAAGTGGACTGAGCCTGGCTGGTGGCAATACTTTATTTCTCTCTGGCTCTGGCTAAAGAGTCCCAGGGAAATCACTCATTGCAAGTCAGACAGTGCTTATTATCAAGATTCCTTTGTCTCTCAATTTAGGTGAATATGATGACCCAGCATGGGACTTTTAATGTGGTCATTTATTTATTGAATTATTTATGAATCACTCATTCAATTACTTAATACTTTTCAAGAGTCATGTATATGTAAGGTTCTGGGTACACAGCGCTAAATACATAGTAAGTATCATGAAAAGACACCATGGCAGACATAGTCTCCATGCCCATGGTCCTCACAGTCTAAGTGAGGGACAGGCAAAATCATGTCATCAAATATAGTAATGCCACAATATATGAGTGCTAAGGAAGTTGTGCCTGAGGTGAAGAGAAAGAAAATAACAGCAGCGTAGGGAATGAAACTTAGAGCGGGGCATTAGTGGTGAGACCTAAAGGCTAAGGATAAGCCAAAGTCAAGAGGACAATTGGCCCAGCCAAGTGTAATGTTGCTTTCCTATAAACCCAGTACTCTGGGAAGCTGAGGCAGGAGGATTGCAAAGTTAAGCCCAGCCTAGGAAAATTAACAACTTAGTGAGAGAGATCCAGTCTCAAAAAATATAAAATAATACGAAAGAGCTAGGGATATAGCTCAGAGTGAAAACCCTGGATTCAACCCCCAGTGTTGAAGAAAAAAGAAATAATGAGTGGTGGTCCATTTTGGCACAAACACAACATGCACTGAGGCCAAGGGACCACAAAGGACAGACATGTGCTACGAGCAAAGGGGAGACTAACGTGGAAGGAGTGATGCTGGGAAAGGAGGGAGGGGGTGAGATGAAGTGACTGAAATGTGCCCAGGACAGACCCTTCCTAGATACATAGAGGCTTGTCAGCTGTATTCTGCATGCAGTAAAAGGCTCCGAAAAGCCTTAAGCAGGACATTGTTGTGATCTGGTTTTGGATTCAGGAAGATTGGGTCAGCTGAGAGTGCTGGTCACTGTCACGTTTTGCCTGCCTGCCTAGGTCCATGGTGAATGTCCTGACTGGGGTAGGTGCCACTGTGGTCGACCCACATATTCATGGTCGCTTACCCCCATGCATTGTTCAGGCCGTTCTCATGCTTCTGCCAAATACTGACCCCCATATCTGTGAGAGGACTTTCTTTGACTCGTTTTCCCCTTAAGGCGTTGTACTTTCGAAGCAAGAAGTTACCCAGAAGCAAACATCCTCGGGACCTTTTCACCACTCACTTGAAAGAAAAGAGGGTTCCTGTCCTTCTGCTACTCTCTAGGACTCAAGCCTGGCCCTCACAGTTATCCTGACATAGCATATGTGCTAATCTAAAGACCAGAAATGCCATTGAAACCTTTTACCTATACGTAGGTACTAAATACATATTTGTGTTTTCCTCCCAGAGCTCCAGCTCTTCCAGAACCACAGAAGACTTGCAGCATGGTGGTCTGATGAGCTGCCTGAAGTGTGCGTCACAGGTGGGCCCACCAGGAGCCCCTGCAGCTGAGCAGCCCTGCAGACGCATGACAGCATCTGGTGAAACTTCATTTCCACACAGGTGTTGGTGACATGGCTGAATCCTGCAGAAATGAGTGATTCCCTTGCTTCTTTCCTTTGTGGCCTTGACTACGCAGCTCCAAGAGGGAAAGAGTGGAGAAATTGCTATTCCAGTACTCAGAGACATGGTAAGAAGGGAGAATAAATCCAAGCACCTGAAACCTTAAGTCAAGTCACACTTTTTCTTAACCACTGGCGTAAGAGAAATATGAAGACGAACACTTACCTTAAGGGAGGAAACAAAGCTTTCTCTCTAGAAATCTTCAGGAAAAGAAGGACTATGGAGAATACCGTGTAGCTGATCAAGGGAAACATACTCAAGTCAGATTTTTAGTTTCAATCTCACCTCTACAGCATCCTGGGTATATGGCTTAGTCTGCTCTGCTCACCATAATAAAATACCATAGACTGAACTGTTTCAACTACAAAAATTATGTTCTTACAGTTCAAGAGGCTGATAAGTACCAGATCAAGTTTTGCTGGACAATTCTGTTGACCAATGAAGTCTCTCATCCTGGCTTGCAGACAGACAATCTGGCTTTTTATTGTGTTCTCACATACCAGAAAGAAAGAAATACAGACAAGTTCTTTAGTATTTCTTCTTATGAGGGCACTAATTCTGTCAGGAGATCACCACCAGAATTACCTCACATAATTTAATTATTGTCCAAAGTCATTATCTATGAATATTATCATGTTAGGGATCAAGGCTTCAGGATATAAAATGGTGGGGAGAGGTAAAAGCATTCAGTCCTAAGCATTGAACTGACCCCCCAAATCGCATGTCCTCGTGACGAACAGATATAACCATTCTACCTCAAAAGTACCAAAAATCTTAATTCAATATCATCTCTAAAATCTAAAGGCCAGTCTCATATAAATCTGATGTGGGTGAGGCTCAAGATATTAATTCACCCTGAAGAAGAATTTCTCCTTACCTGTGAACCTACGAAATCAGACAAATTATGTGTTTCCAAAAAACAAGGGTGAGACAGGGAGAGGGTAGACATTCTCTTTCCAAAAGGGAGATACTGAAAGGAGAGAAAGGGGTGACTGGCCTGAGGAAAGGCAAAACCTAGAAAGGCATATGCCATCAGATCTAAGACTCTAGGACAATTCTTTCTGGTTCGCTGTGATGCCCTCCAGGTGTGCTGGGTGGTAGCATCATCCCCATAGGTCAATGGGCAAAGTCCCATCCCTTTGATTCTTGTGATGGCTCTGCCCAAATGTGGTGCTGATGAGTTCTGGTTCCTCTCTTTGGAAAAGATGGAAGCATCCTTGCTTCCTTGGTCTCTGCCCTTGGGAATAGTGTTGGGATTGGAAAACCTGATAATGTCTGAACTGCTCCTGAGGTCCTTTTTCACATTCCTTGAAAGATAGCGCTTATTCACCAAGAAGTTCTTCTGTGTTCCCATCCTGAAAATCCAGAAGTGTGGCAGCATTTCTGCATTCCACCCTGCCTTGTGTGCCCTCTTTAGTTCACACTAGCAGTGCCTTTGTTGGTAGAATCCCATCTGTAGTTTTGGATTCTATTGAGATGATTGATTATGTTTAGCTGCACTCATCACCTTATCAAATGCTTCTTCAGCCAAACCCTAGTGTTCTGTTCAGAGTAAGTTTTCCTATATTGTTTTCTTAATATGGATGTGCCGAGAATTTTCTAATCCTCAAGTTATAGTTCCTTTTTGCTTGACAAATTCTTTTCCATATCAACTCCCTTTCTCCTCACAATTTGTTATAAGTAGTCATGTGGTACCAAGTTGTTTCTTCAGAACTTCTCTTAAAAGTCTTCTCGGTTAGATATTCACTGGTCCTAAATTGAACTGTATCAGTCTGCTTGGACTTCCCCAAGAAAATAATCCAGGCCAGGTGGCTTAAATAACAGGAGTTCCATTTTTTCACAGCTCTGGAGACTGGAAGTCCTAAGAGTTGCTACCAGAAAGCCAGAGACTCATGAAGCTGATGGTGTAAGGTCTTGTCTTAGTTTGAAGGACCAGAACCAGGAAAGCCTTGTAAGTTCTAGGCCAAACACAGAAGACTGATGTTCCAGTCCAATCAGTCAGGCAGCAGAAGCCCTCTCTTCCTCACTTTTTCTCTCTACCCAGATCTTCAGGTGTTGGATGAGACACAGCCAAATAATGGAGAACTCTGCTTTACTGAGTCCATCAGTTCAAATGTTAACCTCATTCAGAAACACTTTCATAGATATGCCCAGAATAATACTGCCGAAATGTCTGGTTACCCCATGGTCCAATCAGGTCATCACCTAAAATGAACTATTATATGTGGTATACAAGATTCTTTTCCTCCTTAGTCATTATACTGAATCTATAAAATTGAGGAAATAATAAAACTGACCTTAGAGAGTAGCTTTGAGGAGTATACTTTGAATGATATAAAGCACTTAGCTACTCTGGCCTTCAGTAAGGATCCCATGCATGATAGCCATTATTCTTACTACTGGATTGTACATATCAACCAGATACAAATTCACAATGAAACTTAGAGTTTACAAAGATGAGTTCCATTTGCTCTTGATTACTCATAGCACTGTAATGTCAGACATCTTAGTCTTAAACATGCTATTCCAGGACAGTATGACCCAATACTATACCTGCTGAAATTAAAGTCCTTCCTGCACTCTCGTGAAATTCAGTGAGTAATACTGCCTGCATTAAAAAGCGCCTTCTAGCTTGTTAAAGTACATACTCTTAAACCCCACATAAAACACACTATGATAGCCCTTCTTGGCTGAGAAGTCAAGGGATCTGCATTTTAACAAATGCCTCAGGGAATTCTTCAGGTGCATTACATATTGAGAACACTGTCTTAATGGAATTTGGGACAAGCTACTGATTCATCATGTCCCTCCCTTTGCTTTATTAAACACACAGTGACTACTGTGCTTTAACACTGCTTTCCACTTGAATTTCTGTTAGTATTTATTTTATCCTTGTTCCGTTTCTAAGTTGTGTATCATATCCCTTTAGGGTGGGTGTCAAGGCCGTTTTCTAAGTTGGGTGATGCTTGTGGTCCTAAGCCTCTTCACCCCAAGCTTGTTTACTGCTACTGAACACATCACCCCGTTGTTACCCTCAACCATAGCAGACAGTCCTGCTGACTCCCTCTTGATTTATCCTGTATTGTATTACTTTCCCCCCATCCTTCTTGGTGATTTAAGAAGCTGTTTTTATTGTTTCTAGAGCCAACACATCTGTCATATATTTCCCTCCAACTTAAAAACATTGGAAAATAACTGGCTACTGAGTACAAAGTCAGGCTTGTGCTAGATGATCCCTGCCTTTGTATTTGGCTCTTGCTGAGTAAGACTGCTCTTTCTAGGCTTCTACTCTCTCAGCAGAGTCAGGCTCTTGACAAACCCAGAAGGGATAGAGAAGCCTCTCAGCCTAGGTTTGTGGATAGGTTTGTGTTTAATCTTGGGAATTAATATCAACTTTGTGGTTTAGCCACAGGTTTCCATTTTTATCCATCTACACTCTGTTCGTGAACATGAAAACTGGAACCACGATTATAATTGAGGAAATGGCACCACATGTTAGCAATGGAGAAACAATAACAGATTGGAAAGGGTTGGTTTGTCTCTATCAGAATTATAACTATAGTGAGCATTTTATTAGTCAGAATTTATTAGCCAGCATTCCATCGCTGTGACAAAATACTTGACGTAACATCATAAAAGGATGAAAGATTTTTTGACTCAGGGTTTCAGTACATAGTTGGCTGGCTCTATTGTGATGGGCCCACATTGAGGAAGAGCAAGCTGGCAGAATGAGTGTGATAAAGCGAGATTGTAGAGAGAGAGAGCATGGACACAAGGAAAGACAAAACTTTTAAACTCATGCCCCAGTGACCCACTTCCTTCAACTAGAACTCAACTCCTACTGACTCATTACTGGTTTTAGGCTTTGATGAGAAGAGAGTAGGCCTTATCACCAAACCATGATTGGCACGGCTCTTAATCCAATCAAATTGACCACCAATACTGTTAACTGTCACACAGAAATGACAGAAATCAGGTTCAGATCACATGAAGGGACAAGCGCCCTGCAGAAGATACAGGCCGGGAGAAGCAGTATTGTTTTGCATCCAAATTCATTCACTCTCTTGAATGCCAACAGGTGGCCACTCACTTGCTGACAGGGGCCCTCCCATTTTGGCCTGCATAGTGAAAAACGGGCTACCTCCTCCTCTCTCTCAGGTTTCCTCCCAAATGCTAGAAAAAGTTGGATGTCAGTGGATGTCCACCCAAAACATAATTCACATTCCTCTTACTTCCACTGCAATAATAGTAATAATAATAATAATAATAATAATAATAATAATACTGTCTCTGTCAGTTATCGAGGGCTCCTTGTTCTATACGCTGATGAGCAGAATCTCTGATTTTCACAGCAACCCTCTAAAACAAAAATATAGTGGTCACCACCCCCTATCCATGGATTCTGCACCCATATATTTAAGCAACTTCAGATCAAACATTCAATTGGGAGATGCTTACATATGTACTGAGCTTTTCTCCTTGTTGTTAGTCACTAAACCACACAGAATAACAAGTATTTATATATGCTTTACTTTGCATTAGCTATCATAAATAAGCTTAATGTTCATAGGTTATATGCAAATACTACACCATTTAATATAAGAGACTGGAACATCAGCAGATTTAAGGGTCCTGAGACAAATCCACAGAGGATACAGATTTTTTTAGCAAATGAAAAAACAGTCTCAAAGAGCTTAGGTAATTTACCTCTAACTGTGCAGGTAAAGAGTGATGAGTGCAGATTTGCTTGACGGAATCAATGGCCTGTTCATGCTATATGCTGCTATGTCTATGGCTTATCTTTACCTCCAATTTTTCCTGTACATCTAATAGGTTAGACAAATAGGCCTGGTTTCTTATCTGTTGCATATCCATCTTAATAATAATTAACAATATAGGGTCTCAAGTTCTTGCTATCTGTGGCATTGTACATTTCTACAACCACGTTCAGATGGGTACCATTTTAGAATGACAAGTATTATAGAATTACAGAACAGATTTGGACAATGTTGGTGGAAACATTATAGCTATCAAGTGTGATGCTGTTTTCTTTGGTCTCTCGCAGCC